AATCTTTCCGTTTTTTTTGTGTCTTACATAGTTTTCAAGATATTCCCTAGCGAATATTGCACTCTTCAAAAAGTTTTTTTTTGTCTTACTTTGCGTCATGATGCCTAAATCCCAAGTTTTAACAAAAAATATTGGGACGGAATGTTGATTTTAGACTGCAAATTGTACGGTAGGCTTTTGCAGCCTGTAGAAAACGGTCTTTTTATACTTCCCTCCAAGAAATTGAGGTTGTTTCACTTTTTCCACGAAACTGTTCAAATTCACTTCCGTGTCCTCGTCGTCAATTTATGATGTGTTTGTAAGTACGCCAGATGGGTAAATCACTAACATTTTCATTAAAAATAGGAATTATGTAGTATTTTAATAAATTAATGCAACACAATGAAACACAATTAAAATTTCCCAAAGTTTTTGAATGAAACTAAAATCGAACGTGATTGGTTTCTCCATGGTTACGCACATTATAGTAATGGCCGACTTTTTCGAGCCAATCAAAAACCAATTCTTAAAGTTTTTGAATGAATTGAAAAAACTAAAGTGATTGGTTTTTTACATTATTATGATGGCCGACCTTACTCTGCCCAATCAGAATGCTTACAACTTTTACAATAATCTTTACGTTAATACCTACGATAGTACGATGTTAATTCGTTAAGAGTTTTTTTTTCAAAAGTGCGATATTTGCGAAAGAATATTCCAAAAACTATTTAGGATTCAAAAAACCCGAGAWGACCATCTCGTAGAAAATTTTACAAGCTTTACTTTTGTACAAAACTATTTTTTTGGATATAAAACCTCCTTGGTGCCYTTTTAATAAGTAATTTTACAATTAAACATCAATTAATTATTTAATTTAGTTTATTTTTCTTAGTTCTTTTTATGATGAAATGCATTAAAATTATGAAAAAAGCTTAAAATTAGCCATAAAATACCAATTAATAATTAATAACTAAAAAATTATTTAACATGTTGCGAGTTTCTCGCTTTTAATATCGCAAACGGAATTTGTAAAAAAAATATTTAAGGTCCAGTATGTTACAAGACAGGTTATCAGATTTTGCTATAATTAGTATCGAAAATAAAATTGATAGACGTAACTGGTATTGCTGGAGATTTTGCTATTAAAAAAGCGAAAAAAAAAAAGATTTTGGTTCTATTTTTTTTCATTGTGTTTTTTAGTGTTAGTCATTTTTTGTTGAATTTTGATTGTAGACTGCAAATTGTAGGATTTTGCAGCTTGTGGAAAACAATGTTTTCATACTTCCCTCCCAGAAAGTGACATTATGTTTCACTTTTCCATAAGATGTTCAAATTCAAAGAAAATTCTCATTTCCGTGTCTTCGACGTCAATTTATGTTGTGTTTGTAAGCACACAGGACGGGTAAAACACTAACATTTCTATTTTATATTTGCCAACGAATATTTGGGATTCAAAAAAACCCGAGAAGACCATCTTGTAGAAAATTTTACAAGCTTTACTTTTGTACAAAACTATTTTTTTTAATATAAACGAAAAAGCATAAAACCTTCTTGGTACCCTCCTGAGCCCCGTTCACCTCGAGGGACCGGGGACTTTCAATATGAAACTGACCCAAATATTATAGTCAAAAATTCTGAGTACGAGGAAAAAACATTATTATGAATCCACTTTTTGTAATGTTTGTTTAGTCCATTTTTGTGGAAAATTGTTCCAAATAATGATAATATAAATTTGAATTTTTTTCTACTGTTTTCTTGCGTAATGTTTTTCTTATTCTTTTTTTTATAATCGGTGTAGGTATATATGTATTTTTCCTGTTGAGTAAGTTTTTGAAGGACTTTCTTCTTCCTTAAAATTTCCTTAAAAACTTGCTCTTGATGTGTGACACGTAACAACTTAAAAAGTCGAATTTTATTTAAGAAAAAAACTTTTTAACAATAAATGTGCATCTGTCAAGAAAATACATTTAGAAAAGATCGATAATGTCATAAGAACTGCTTAGATAAGCACCAATTTTTATTTTAATCTCCACAGATGTAAAGATTAAAATAAAAATTGGTAAAAATAAAAAAAAAGTAGAAACACTGGTGTAACAATTTTGCCATGGAGTTTTGTAAGAAGCACTTTGTCGAACGTCGGGTTTAGATTGGTGTAAGTCAAGACAAAATAGTGAATGAAATGAAAATAATGTATACACCTCGGCTAGGAATACTCACATCCGTGATCATTTTCCCTCTCGTTTTGTTCCGTTCCCGATGATTGGCTTTCTTTTCCAACTGTTGCAAAACTCGCTCCCTTGTCGTTCGATATTCTAAGGCAAATTCGGAAACGATTCTACAGAATTCATTGGGTTTGGTGTCAGACAATTGGTGTAGAGGGATTCCTAACCATAGTAAAAATTTATGAAATCTGAAAAATGTATGTCAAGTTTCGATTTTTCAAAGTGGGGATAAAAACCTGTTCATAACCCTCCTGTGTATGATTCCAACAAGAATAATTCTTTCGGCACAATCGGCTAAAAAGTCGGACATTTTGACTTTCATCATGGTGGAGCCGTCATGTTTGGCTATGAGTTTCAAATGGTCCCAGGAGGCTTTGCAATCGGCCTCAAGTCTTTGAATGTTCAACGCGAGTTCGTCGAAGTCGATTTTCGAAGCTCGTGTAATTGCACCAATCTAAAAAAAAAATACAAACACTTGAAATTTTTTTCMTGTACTCACCTCTGAATACAAGTCAGTCGCGTCAGGAAACTTCTCCATCACAATATGGCAAAGATGGTGCAATAAAGAGTGCTTGTGAACCGTATCTTTGACTTCAGGTACTTTGGCAAGATAATCAATTTGGAACCCTTTTACTTCATTCCCGTTCAAAAAATTCCCAATGGAGAGAAGGGTACTCAAAATTCCCCTAAATGTCTTGTTCACTCGCAAAACTTCAAACCCTTGCTTCAAATCCATCAAGGGTTCGGCAATTTCCCGTTCGGAATTTTCGAAATCAAGTTTGAAAGCCCACAATTTTAGTCTTGCCGGCAATTCGGAGATTGATGCTAAAGTTAAAAGGAACTGTTCCGCACTCCCAAGGGGAAGATCAGGATTGGCAGCTTGAGCTTCTTGTATTTTCGACCTTTCCTCTTCAGTCGGCAGCATTGTGAGCAATTTTTCGATACCTTCGCGGTTCATTATRGTGGCGTCCATTTTCAARATGGCGGTYTTGATGGAWCGYGGTGGGGGTAACTTGGTCATTCCGATGTTGATGGCGTTGGAACGTTTGGGGTCCAGGACGATAATTTCTTTATTTTTATTCATCTCTTGTTGTTTCTAAATAATTACATGGTTTTAGTACATTATAACGGAGGTAAAAAATGAGGGACCACAACCATTTACCATGCTCTAGACTAGTACAAGAGTCTGGAAAGGTTACAAGTAAAGTGGCCCAAAAAGCACAATTTTGTCCCTAAGTTGGCACTACTGTGGTTATTAAGAGGAGGTGTGAGGGCCAGAAACATCTACAATGACCAGTACTGCCAACATGAGTCGTTTTGTTGGCAACACTGTCGAAGGGTAGTGCAAAAACCAAAACTATGCCATCACCACCCAATTGAATGACTCACCTCCTGAGACCATGCCATGTGCGGATCACCAAAGAAAAAAAAAAAGAAACGAATTATATTTAATGAAGCTTCAAAATTGAAAAAAATGCTTCCACCAAAGAAATTGGAAGATGGTTTTTGGTGCCAAAACCAAAAATTTTGTCACACTTACCTTGGTAATCAAGTCCTTGGCCCTCGACTCGAATAAATGTTCCAGTTTTTGGGTATCGACAGAAACTGGTTGCAGTTCGTCCCAAATAAATCCAGTCTTGAGTTTAACAGTACAAATCGGCTCCTCTCGGACTTCCTTCCAGAAAAGTTTKACCGTTTTCTTGTTCTTYTTGATTGGTATTTTGGTTTCGGATTGTTTGGACATACGAGGGAGAGTTACTCCAAAAACTGGAGGATTTGGAACAGGGGGAGGCCCTTTATTTGATAAAGGGGGAGGTGGCGGCGCTCCGTTCTCCTTCAAAGGAGGAGGAGGTGGCGGAATACCATTGAACACAGYAGCTGGGGCCAAAACATCAGCCTCGTCATCGCTCCCCAAGTCCGTAAARTCCATATCACACAGRTTCAACGGCCGGTCCAAATTCGCAACTAAYTCCTCCCATCTGAGCTCATTTTCGGACTTCTTAACTTCGAGTTTTGGAGGGGATTCAGATGTTGGACTTTTGAGGACGTCAGCTTTGGATTTGGACTTGGCTAAGCCTTCTTTGGCTTTRGAGATGAGACCTGTCATATCGCCGATTCGGTTCGGTTTRTTTTCGTCCGARGGACTGTGGAGGATGTTCTGATTGGCCAGTTTTTGGGTCAGGTCTTTGACTGTATTCTCCCGTTTCAATTGCAGGAGAACATTTCGCTCGTTTTCGTTCGCATTTTCGGTRTTTTCGTCAATTGGCGGTTGCGAGTCGTCGTAGAGGATCCAGGGTTGTTTAGTGAGGTTCTCTTCAGAGTCGAGCTTGTTGACGGCGTTCATTAGAGGGGTGATGTCCTTGCGGTTGGTGATTCGCTGCTGAAGGGCGTTGGTATAGTTTCCTAAAAAAATCATTATCCTCAATAGAGTTCTTGTATAAAAAGGAGGGAAAAAAAATTGCGAAGCAAAGCTAAACTCACCCAAATTGTTCTCATTCTCATCTTCTTCATTCTGGGAGGCGGCCCTCAGCAACTCCACAGTCTCCTGTTGCTCCCTCATRAAACTCCTCTGTCTTTCCGCCCGTTCCCTTCTCCTCCTCAAAGCGGGAGTGACGCCAGCGTCAGTCGCTAAGCAAAGCCACACGTGAGCAAGCCTCAAACTCACTCAAAAACTCACCTTTATTACTATCCTTGTAGCATCCGTTCAGCTGCGAATTGTTGATTTCTGAAGACTGGGAGCTTGAAGATTCGTCATCTTCCACGTTGATTTGGAGGGACCTGTTGTTGTTGCGGGTTAGGAGAGGGTGAGGGTGTGGGGAGGTTCCCGTGGAGTGTCTTCGACTCTTTCTTCTTTCGTTTGCTTCCGAAACTGATTTGCGGTTGCGGAGGGTTTTTCGGATGCTTTCGTCCAAATGTCGGATTGGGGTTCCCCCTTCTTCGCCGTCTTCATATTGAAGAACGGCTTCGTAAATTTGGAATTGTTGGAGTAAGTCGAGATCGGTACCCGGTTTGGACATGTATCTTTGGATGATTCTTTCGATTTCTTGTTCTTCAAGAGAGTCAGTTTGGTCGTAGTAAGTGTCTTGGTCAGGCACTCCATTGAGGACTTTATTGATCAAAGTTGTAGCATAGATCAAGAGTTCAGTGTCGGCAGAATCGAAATCTTTGAGAAGTTTCATGATGTTGTGCCAAGGCAAGACTCCTTGTGCAAAATCAACCGTTTGTATCGCTTTGATGAGGAGCATACAATTCGATTCCGTATACTCAACAAAAACCAAAAGTAGCTTCAAAGCGGTTTTCACCACAAGTCGAAACTTGGACGAAATGAGACTATACAACCATTGGATGGTTTGGTTGTGTTCCATCACCCCGTTCATTCCATCCACATACAACATCACTTGTCCCAATGCCCTCAAAATGTAGTTTTGGTAGTTTTGGTCGGCTTCTGAACCGACTTTGATGAGACATGATAATCCATCGTTTTGTACAAACTCGTGGACGAGATCTTTGTCTTCTTGGAAGATCTGTTTGAGGGAGAAAAGTGCCCGACGCAGTTCGCGACCTTCGGAAGTTAGCAATTTTTCTGGAATTGAGAAGTGATGGTAAAAGTTAGTGAAGGGTGATTGAGTTTTGTATGTGCATAATCTAACGATCGGTGCACGACCGAGCGGTTAGAGATCATGTTAACCTGCTATTATGCGAGGTTTTTACGGGGGATACAAATTGGTTGGATTTCTCGGTGCAGGTTGCAACAGCGGTTATGCAAATGGGGATTGGATGTGGATTTTATCAAATATTAAAAATTAAATCAGTAATTAAAACTGACATTGAGCAGTGAAAGTGGAACCAAATAAATCTTTGTGACATGTGAGACATTAAAAATATGATACTTTCAGTCCTATAAACAGCAAATTTAAGAAAATTGTAAAGTTAATTCTTTAAATCAAACATTACGTTGAATAGAACGATTAATTAACAAGGGTCTTTTTTAGAAACTAAATTTTTGTATTATGTATTTGCTATTAAAAAGTAAACAATAAAAAAGGGGTTATATAAAAAATATATACTTTTCAATTTCAAAGCATGAAGCAGTTTTTGATACTAAAGATTTTTTTATACCAGGTGAATAATATTTACTCAAAATTTTCGTAATATTTGACTCATGGCTTACAAAATTTGGAACATCTTTTGTAGAATAATGTACATATTTTTTTCCAAATGAAGTTGTTTTTTTTCCTTTCAATTTAAATATATTCGTAGTATAACGCTTAATTAAAAATAGCTTTATGTTTTAGTGATACTCCTAATTAATTTTAAATTTGATGTTTCATGCTATTTAAAAAATTAAAAAAGTGTTTTTCTAGGTGCATATGTTTTTCAACGACCCTCTATTTGAGATATGTAAATATAAATTTTAAAACTTTTTCTTTTTTCTTTCTTTCTTTCTTAAAACGCATTTGTTTAATTTAACACCTGTACATATATTTATTTTCAGTTTTATAGGAAGACAAAACAATATTTTGTAAAAGTAAAAAGCATAAAGTAAAAAGTAAAAAGTAATCTTATATCGTCGTAATTAATAACAGTGTTTTTTGCATTTATTTCTTTTTACTAAATTTTTATAAAGTTAAAATAACTAAATACATAAAAAACAAAATTATTTTTAGGATGTAGAGCAACAAACCGTTGTAGCCGTTAATTAGTTACATTATACTAATTAATCATTAAAACTTGAGTACCATCTCACGCCCATACTAAAATTTATTTGAACTTAATTTAATAGATTTAAAAGATTGAAACGTTAAAAAAACTACAAAAAGAGAAAAAGTTTGTAAGTAAGAAATAAAGGCTTTATTATGTATTTATTTTATTAACAAAATAATTTTGTACTTATTGAAATTAAAATTAATTATGAATTTTCCCTTGAAGGTTACAGAATTTTGATTTAATGTTTCCATATTTGTGGATTTGTATACACTTACAATAAAAAATCAGTCAAAATTAGTTATTTATTACAGAAAAATCATAATTTTATTAAATACAAAATGAAGAAGTAAGTTTTAAAAAAACAATAAGAAAAAAATTCAAAACGTTTGATGTTTTAGGGTAAAGAGGTATGTTATTTTATCCAAAAAATTAATTGATCACAATTAGAGCTTTTTACATTTTTTTTTTGACATTTATAATCTTGATGTGAAAAAGAGGCACAACATCAAGATTTGGGCATAATTGTCCAGTTGATGTGGGGGAGCCGGCATTGGTCATGTAATTCAGCGCCTGGCGGGGTATTTGCCCGAGGAGTAGCTGTTTTGGCTGATGTCGGTTTACCTCTCCCGGTGGGCGTTTTTGGGAGATTTGCTTTGCAAATTCCCAGCCCCCGGTGTTTAGAGGTCTGGATTCTCCACACACCGACAGGTGGCGCTCTGCGCTACCACTGTCTCATTTATAATCTTGACAAAATACATAATAGTTTGAATTTATTAACCCGTTCTATTCTGTAGCAACTATCTTAATAACTCTCCAACATGCGATCGAGTCCCAAATTAGGTCTGCCTAAACAAGAAAAAGAAAGGTAAAAAACAAGAAAAACGCTTAGCATCAGCTTTTTAATTATGGTAGGTAAGTATTKTCCATTTGTGACTTATTTTTTATTATTCACTTATTAAATAACTGTTTGGTTAATAATGATGAGCCAGAAATTAACTTATTTTTTTAATTTTATTATTTTTATTAATGCTTCCAATAAAAATTTTAATCATAAATTTCACAATTCGCAAAAAAGCTATTACAGATAATGGCGCTTTCATTGCCTGAACCTATGCCCTGATTTTAAATAGGTATTTCTGCTTTGCATATTCCATTAAGAAGAACTTTTAAAGCCCTAAGCTGTAACAGCTATCTAAACTGACACTTCCTCCATTAGAACAGCTTTTACTCAATTTTTCCCTATCAAATATGTAATATTTCCTTAAATTGCAATCCAAAGTCATCTCAATTAATTGTAAAAACCGTAAAAAAAAWTTTATCCTTCGTAATTGATCGAGAAAGTCTCATTTGTCCTATTCATTCGTAAAATGGTTCCGCTATCACAATACAACAATTTAATGGCAGCTACGCTAAATGTTATTGAGCATACAATCCACGAATTTCACGTAACGTAATATCGAAAGTAAACTTTACTAATAAAAAAAAACTCCATTATTATGCACAATGGCGGCCATAAATAACATTCGACATAAATGAAAAATCAACTCACCTATAATCGTGTGCACTCTAACCGACAGTTGTGTCCTTAAAACGATCGAATTCTTCTTACTGCAACAAGAAAACAGAAATTAGTCTCAAATCAGGAAGAATCGTGTGTCAACCGCCACGACCAAACGAAATCGATTGGACACGAATCCGGACGGCCAGGTGGCACTTAATTAAAGCCGTACCGGCTTTGAGATGCCGTTTCAAGCTGCGGTTTTCCGCTCGGTACCATATTCATTCAAGGCAACGGTACCACTGCTCCTTTCCTGGACCAAAATTTTTTTCATGATTTTTTTATATACGGGGTGAATCAATAAATAATGCGGCTTCAGCCCCCCTGAACGCAATTTTTGTACAATTATATAGTTGGCAAATCTGCATTGGCTCAAATTATTTTGAACTCTACAAGGAGTGCCATTATTTAAGAAAAGTACTCAACTTTTTTTTTCATTTTGATTTTTCTGATTTTGGATGCGTCGCACAGTGGTCTGAGAGCGGCAAAAACCCAGACTTTATAGGTAATCCAAAAATTTTTATTTGTTACTTTTGTATGTAAAAGATAAGTAATTAAATATATTTAAAGAGATTAAGTACCAAAAACCTCCATATTAATTTATCTATAACCATAAGAAGTTGTCACACAATAAATAAGCATATTTTCACGATCGCTTGGTTAAAGTCTTAGGACATATTTTGTATGTGATTTATTGAGTTTTGCAAAATTGATCCAGTTGTATTAGGTTCATGTACATTAAAAAAAAATTCAAATAAATTTGGAAACAAGTTTGTTTAATAATGTCGTGAACACGAAACACAAATTTTTGTAAAATCAAAAACGTGTATTGATTTTGCGCCAACATGCGCCAAACTGAGACTTATTGGAAACTGTTCTTAACACTCTGTGTTAACGATTAAAACAAATGGCTTTATTTTAAGCCGGAAATTAACCTGAATCAAAATATTTCAACACAAGTTTTGAAGAAAAATTTTCTTCCAAAATAAAACAATTTGAGCTAGTTTCAATCCAATTTTGTACGATTTTAATAAAGAAATAATTCTAAATTAGTGTATTTTATAAAATAATTGCTTTAATCTTAATTTTAGGCTGWAATAAAGCAATTTGTGATATGTTCAATCGATTTGGCTCAATTTTAAGTTAGGAGTCAATCTGAATCAAAGTATTTCAACCAAATACTGGCTTCAATAATAGTTTTCTTCCAAAATAAAGCAATTTGAGCTATTTTTAATTCAATTTTTCTAGATTTTAATAGAGAATTATTTCGAAGTTAATGTATTTTATAAAAATAATTGCTCCAATCTTAATTTTAGGCTGAAATAAAGCAATTTGTGATATTTTCAATCGATTTGGCCCATTTTTAATTTGGGAATCAAAGAATTTCAACCTATTACTGGCTTGAATAGAAGTTTTCTTCCAAAATAAAGCAATTTGAGCAATTTTCAATCCAATATTGCTCAATTTTAATACAGAATTAATTCAAAATTAATGAATTTTATAAATATAATTGCTTCAATCATAATTTTAGGCTGAAATAAAGCACTTTGTGATATTCTAAAGCGATTTAGCTTTATTTTAGGCCGGAAATTAACCTGAATCAAAATATTTCAACACAATAATGTTTTGAATAAAAGTTTTCTTCCAAAATAAAACAATTTGAGCTTTTTTTATTCCAATTTTGTTCGACTTTAATACAGAATTAATTCAAAATTAATGCTTTTATTAAAATAATTCCTTCAATTCAATTTTTCTAGATTTTAATATAGAATTATTTCGAAATTAAAGTATTTTGTAAAAACAATATCTTCAATCCGAATTTTAGGCTGAAATAAAGCAAATTGTGATATTCTCAACCGATGTGGTTTTATTTTAAGCCGGAAATTAACCTGAATCAAAATATTTTAACACAATAATATTTTTCTTTCAAAATAAAACAATTTGAGCTATTTTTAATCCAATTTTGTTCGATTTTAGTACAGAATTAATTCAAAATTAATGTTTTTTATTAAAATAATTGCTTCAATTCTAATTTTAGGCTGGAATAAAGCAATTTGAGCTATTTTCAATTCAATTTTGCTCGATTTTAATACAGAAATAATTCGAAATTAATGTATTTTATAAATATAATTGCTTCAATCTTAATTTTAGGCTGAAATAAAGCAATTTGTGATATGTTCAACCGATTTGGCTTAATTTTAAGTTGGGAATCAACCTGAATCGAAATATTTCAACATAATAATATTTTGAATATAAGTTTTCTTTCAAAAKAAAACAATTTGAGCTATTTTTAATACAATTTTTTTCGATTTTAATACAGAATTAATTCAAAATTAATGTTTTTTTATTAAAATAATTGCTTCAATTCTAATTTTAGGCTAGAATCAGCTGCGTAAACCTGCGAGTTTAGTAATAACAATCTCTTAATTCTTTGAAGTAAGGCAGATACAAGCAAGTTTTATTTATTGTAAATGGTAATTCAAACACTATTTTTTTTTAGTTTTTTTCTAGGTAAATATGTATGCAGTGGTAAAAAAATAATTTTAATTATTTAAAGCTCTATTGGTATTACAACGTGTTCTCATTTTGAATTAACAACCATAACATTAAAAGGGTTGTTCGCAAAATGTTATTTTTAGTCTAGATGAAAAAGCCTAAATTCTATACAAAACTAGTTCTTCAGGTGTCTTATTAATATAAAGATTTTTTGAAGTTTTTGCCGTTTTCATGCTAGTTTCGACCACTGTGCGTCGTTGCCGAGTTATTAATTTTTTCAACTTCTAATCTTCAACTTTCGCCGAGCAAATGTGTCACGCATGTCGTGTGGGTGTCGCGAAGACCCAGAATCCAGTAGCTGGGTAACAATGTAAAAGGGGAAACGTTGCTCTGGGTCATGGACAATGTCGGAATTCGCTCTAATTGAGCCTTAATGATAAATCGTGTCGGGGGCCATTATCGCATAATGGCTATAATTAGGGAACTTTCTTGACGGATGGAGGCTAGATGTACGATGGGTGGAACACTCCATCAGCAAAAGTAAACAATTTTTTGCAATTCAGATGGAAAAACGGTAAATTTAAACAATTGCTCGATTGAAGCTGGCTGTGGTCTAATTCGGGGAAAAAACGAGATTAAATAGAATTATTACGGTGATTTCACGCGATTTTTTTTCAATCTTCGGGAAGATTGTTGGTTTTATTATTGGATAAATGTGAAAATTTATTACACGCTTGAGTAAAATCCCAGTGTGTAATTAACACTTGATTGTCGTGTCGCGCGCATTATGATATTAAAAGTAATTTGTTCTTTTGTTGGCATAATTAACACTTTTGCACTTAATGATGGGAAAGAATTTCAACTATTTGGTAAAGGTAGAATATTAGCTATGGATGTGTGCCGAATTTCCTTTTGAATAAGAAATAAAGGAATTGAACGATTCTGGTTGTGTGAATCAGGTCTCCAGGTGGTTTTACGCACGGCTGTGTATAATCTACTTTTGTTTAGATAATCCGCACTTAATTTAGTATTACATCACTTTATTAAAAAAAAATAATCCAGTTGCACCAATCAGGAAGAAAGTGGAAAAAATAATAAGCAGAAATTGATTCAATTTAAACCACAAATAACAAAATTTAACTTCTGGATTGGTGATTAGTGATAGTCTATGGATCTAAAGTTTTGCGTAATTACATCAAACTAGATCGAAAATTATTCATACAAAAATTTGTAATAATCTAACCAAAAGTGTTAGAATTTTCAATCTAAATTAAAAAAAAATATTCATACCCTTGAAACACACTGTATATGTAATAAAAACGTACAACAATATTTTATGCCATATTATAATAGTCTTTTAATTTTGACACAAAATTTGAAAAAAAACATACCAGGTTAAAATGAAGTGCAAAAAAATTATCAAAAGTTGTCAACTGAAATGTGCCTCCCATAAATTAATAAAAATAAAACTATTTGACTGTGTCAGCATCATAACTTTTAATTTTTTTTATCTGCTAATAATTTTTTAACCCTCTTTAGTTATTCATTTATCAGCATTGTTCTCAATTAAAAATAAAACAAAAAATTAAACAACTTAAAGCTTATTAATAACGTTGTTAAATAAGCCTGTAAGTTCTTGTTTAGAAGAATTTTTGTTAAAAAAATATAAAAGCTGAGAAAAAAAATAAAAAATTGTTCCTAAGACGTCCACTTGAATATCAAAAATAGCATATTTGCTAATTTATTATTAAAATTAACAGTTTATTAAAAAAAAAAGTTAACTAAAAGTGGTGGGTTAACAATTGCCATTTTTAACAGTTATAAATACTTCTGAAAAACTATAGACTAGTTTCCCTAAAAAGATACTTTTGAACCATGGTGTAGTGTATATCTAAATCGTATAAAGATTCAAATAAGAAGCAAAGACTGTTATTGACAAACAGTTCTCGATGAATTGATAATAATATTTTTTACATCATATTTTAACCCCTGTTTTCTGTCTGCTGACAATTTTTTGCTTCATACTGTTTCTACTAATTATGATAAGTATGAATCAGGATTAATGACAACAAAACATTTTGAGAGGAGGCTCTTGGCAAAATTTACACAAACCTGTAAGTCAAATAATTATTACTATTCTACTTTTTTTTTATTTTCATGACAACATATGGTAAACGTTTTGATTTTCTCTTCTCATCGACATTGGATGTGACATTCGTAAGGTAAAGAATGCCAACACAAAAAATAAAAATTATAATCAAAGTAAAAAATAAGTTTTTTGGTAATTTAATAGCTGAAATGGAACGTTGATTGTTAATTTGCTGAGATTTATTAGCATCCTGATAATATAAATTTGCTTGACAAGACATGTGACGGGTGTTAATGAAAAGTATAGCGCTTTTACACCACTTTATAACAACCGGAAGAGAAATAAATAAAATGAAATGTCTCATACTCACACGTAATAAAAAATTAAAACTTTTTAAAATAATACAACAAACTAAGAAAAAGATAACAAATCTAAGTCAAATTAATCTTGACAGCAGGCCATTAA